TCCACCACCAGAAGGGGATCCACTAAAAGATATTACCTCACCTACCTTGCCTCTCTGTCCTATCTCTCTGATAGGGCAGCTGGTGGTGTTCTTGTCATAAAACCTTGGGGAGCCAGCTCGCTGGAACAGGGCAAACAGTGAGAGAGCTGCTTCAGAATTCACAGCTCTCTCAAATGCCATCTCGAGGATGTTCTGAATGCAAGAGATCTATCTGCCATCTGCACTGCCATCGCTGAGAGGCCACTTCGGGCAGCTATCTCAGGAACTGACATTCACTGCATGACTGCAACCTACCTCACCAGCTGCATTCGTCAGGGATGCTGCAGTCAGCTGTGCGCAGGGTAAGATGCACAAGTGGTGGTGGAGGGACAGAGGGAGATCAGCTTTTTTTTGGCAGCTGACCCACAGCTGTGGAATTCCCTTCTACCAGAAACCAGAACAACCACCCATCTTACCACCTTCGCAATGTAATGTAAACCCACAGGGCCAAATCCCTAGGTCCACTGTAGCCAAAGGAATTTCACTGATTTACACTCGAGGATCCAGCCCTCTCGCTTTACAACAACTTTGCTCTGGTAACTGCCCTTCAATGGCAATTAATAAATAAATTACAAATTCTCCATGCAGGCTGTCACAGCATTACAGGGGGAAAGTGTGGGAAATACAGACTGAAGGCCATATCCTGCCCTCGGTTACACTGGCATCAGTTAGATATAATAGCACTGAACTCAGTGGCGTTACTCCTGATTTACAACAGGGTAATCAGGAGCAGAACCAGGTAGATCTGTCTGTACTCAAATACCACAGTGACCCAGGTGGGAAAACAGATAGAAGGTTGTGACTGCCACAGTGCGTGGTACTCGCATCTTGATTATTGCTCACCCATCTACCAGTGAACATGATCTTTCTCCAGTAATAATATCTGATCTGTAAACAGGATAGCGTGTGCAAATATCACACTGAAGTTCGTACTGTAGTCATTAAACTGCACTTGATCCAGACAATGTCTGCATGGTTTCTTGACCTCAGACTTGACCTGCCTGTCCCATTTCACAACGGCATGCTGAGTCAGTCTCCTTGGCTTTCACCGAATAGAGACTCAAGCTAGGCTTCAAATTTTGTGGTTTGAGGGTTGGCTGATTTATTAGCAACAGTGGGAAGACGGATCTCCGGCTAGCCGAGTGGAGACACCCTCCCTCTCCCGTTGTGTTCTAATGAAAAAGAGAAACGCTATCTGAAAGGCAACCCAGGGAACAATAAAACAAAACCCAGCCACGGGATACTTAGACATATGGTTCACAAAAGTGCAAAGGAAATCAGCTGAGTTGGAAGCAGCCCTAGTACATGCTGATAATGTGACCTCATCACTCCATCCCTAAGCAGCTGCACTGGCTTCTCATTGATTTCAGGATCCATTTAAAAACATCCCTCTTTGTTTTTAAAAGTTTCAGTGGATTTGCTCAAATCTATATTCTGGGCCTGGTCTCTACTTCCTTTTCAGCTCCTGTTGCTTATCCAACACCACTCTCCTCTCTGACCCTTCACATAACCTCGCCTCTGCTGATGCAAGAGACTTCTCCTCTGCAGTTCTTTTCGTCTTGCAGTACTGATAGCTCTCATGATACTTGGTGTTTGCTTAAGGCCTCAGCTCTTGGAGTAGTGTGAATATGCTCCATTTTTTAAAAAAGGAACATTTTAACCCCAGTTGTTGCTGAGAATTGAAAGGCTTCAAAATGTGAGCCCTAAAGGCTCAGAAACTAGCAGACAAATAAAAAGAATCCAGGGTTTATTATATTTTAGAATCTCGTGGTTTTTTAGCCAACCTCATTATTGGGGGGGGGCTGCTTTGTGATGTTAAGTGCTCACCGTGGAGGGCTCAGAATAGGAGAACTTGCTTCTATCGCAGATCATGGCACAAAATGCAGCCCTTTGTGTGGATGTTTCCCTGAAGGATTAGTAATCACCCCCGTTCCACATGGAGTCTGACCCTTGATGTAAAAGGATGTGAAGAAGAGAGTGAGAACCTCCACTGGGTGGTCTTCCTTGTATGTGCAAATGTGAGGAATAATGACAATAAATACAGAGCACAAGCTGTACGCTTTGCAACCACAGAACTCTGGATGTAAAGCTGTGGAGGGTAAGTATCATTACTCCATTTTACAGATGGGGAAACTGAGGCACAAAGTGGGGCAGTAACTTGTGTTGCTGTTATGGAGATGTGCTTTAATGAGAATCCTTAAGTTGATCATTTGGCTTTCCTTCAGATCCATCACATGCTCAGCTTCTCCGTTTATCCATATTTTCTCTGAGACCATTGTTACATACCTCACACACTGGTCTTTGTCCCTGAGCTACAACAGTGTGTGTAGGAATTGCCAGATAATCAGATCAGGCTGCCAGACCATCTAGCCCAGTATCCTGGTCTCTGTCAGTGGCCCTGTGCCAAGTGCTTCAGAAGAAGGTACAAGAATCCCTGCAGTAGGCAGCGATGGGATTATCTGCCCACAGGGGAAGTATCCTCACTAGCTGTAGGCTGCCTTGGCCATGAAGCAAGAGGGCACATAAACTTTGAGCCTCTCCACTCTTCAAAGGCAGTGGATTTACATCAGTTTAATTGAGAGCAGAATTTAGCCGTTTTTTCTTGCATGACCTTTAAAGTCTTACTCTGCTTAGAACTGCATGGTTTCAGTTCAGTTATGTTTTATGATCTTTAGACAACAAGGGAAGTCGTTCTTCCTGCCTTGGTTTCTGTGGCAGGTGTCCCTTCTGCTAGAAGATACATAAAATGACTAAAAGCTACCCTGTGGCTTTCAGTCTGATGTATAAAAGCATCCCGGGGACTTAATGCAAATAGGTGGTTCTAAGATACTGGCTCCCTTGTTTTCCAAAGTGATATTGATTTGTTAAATATAACTATTAGGAGTGACAAATGGTCCTAATTGTGTCAGAGACTTGGAAAGGCTAAGAAAAGACTACTGGAGCCAGCTGGATGCAGCAGTGCTGACTTGACACTACGTAACCTGCATATGCCTGGCTTTCCTCAGTTCCTCAGTATTTGAAATTATATTGGACTCCAGCTCACACTTGAATAATTAATGAAACATGATTATATGAAATATTTCCAGCTACTTTCTGTTTAAAAATTTGTATCTCTGGCTGGTAAATTAGTCACTGTCACTTTAAATATGGGGTTTGCTTGGCTCTGACTGTCTAGATTTATGATAGATCATTAAACAGAGCAAGTTTTAAGGGAGAGCGGACTCGCTAATCTCAGCCAGCCTCCGTGTCCAGAAGTTCATCTGGGCCATTAGTAATTTAGAAAAGATGTGAAAAAAGAGCAGGTATGGGGAGAGGGGAAAAATCTGCAATAGGAAAACCAAATACAAAAGGGCTGTGATAAAATGGGCAAGGAGACAGTGATTCTGATGAGAAAATAAATAGAGCCAATGGGTAGGAGGCCAGACTGGGGGTTGGGAGACACAGTACTGAGCCACCAGGATGGCTGCCCTGCATGCTGCTTTGTTCCCACCCAGGATCCTATAGGTAAACTGAGGCTGATGGCTCCAGGAGACCACAGTGCCCATCACATATCAAGAGGCACTGAGCAGCTGGATGACAGGGAGCTCCCAGCCCCATTCCTGTTCCATTGTTGACCTGGGCTGCTATTTCGGCTGCATGGCAGGCACAGCAAGAGAAAATCCTCGACTCTCCCTGCACTGTTATGTCCCATGCCCTGGCCACAGGACCTCCCCCTTCACCAGTGCTCAGTTCAGCACAGGGGGAGTCACTAATATAATATCTCCCCATTGCTGCATGGAGAGGGGTCAGTCACTTGTGTGGCACCTTCCAGCACCCTGCAGTGGGCAGAGGAGACTCCTACGATCACGACATCACTGCAGTGGTAAATCTGTGCAAACATTAATGCAGCCTTAGTCACTGCACACGGGGCTGTCTATGCACTGGGGAACACTCTCTGACTTAAGATCCTGGGGTAAACGCCAGCAGCACCCAGGGTTTAGAGCTGGGGCCTTAGAGCCAGTGAGCAGCCAAATTCTGCAATGGAGTCTTAGGTGCTATGGTAATATACATCATCATCATCTGGGGGGAAACTCTGCCAGAGGAATCTCAGGGAGTTTTTTCTCTGCCCATTTTTCCTAGGAGGGGGAGCAGGGGTGTGACTGTGCCGTCATGGCATTTATCCTATGGAATTTATCAGTGGGATCCTACAGAACACGCCATGGAAAAAAGAGAGAGCTGGAGCTTTTAAAAAGCTCCTTCTCGCAGTTGCAAAAAGCTGCTCCCTGTAACTGCCATTCGTCCACCTCTTCTGCTGGTATCCCGAGTGCTGCCAGGTACTGCAGATGAAGTCTCCAGCAAGCAGCTATTGTACGGATTCCCCACACCCACCCTGCACTCCACCAAACATTCACGCAACATACGTATTTTAAAAGCTGTAGATACAAACTCAAAGCACTAGGAACAAAACCAAGGAAGTCCCCGGCTCAAGGAGCCCTTGTCCTCATCTTTGTCCTCCCACTTCATCCCTCCATCCCCATCCCCATCCCCATCCCTCATCCCTCATCCCTTGCTGTCTACTATCTCTCTTTCTGGACAAATTCGGCTCTGAGTCACACCAGCAAGAATCCTCTGGGCAGTAACTCCTTTGATTTCACTGGAACCACCCTAGCTATACCCTGGTGTCTCTGGGAGCGGGATTTAACCCCTACCTCCCTGCCCTGGCGTTTATAATCTTAACCTTTACAACTGCAAAGTGCCCTGCACCCCTAGTGTGGTTACTGTGATAGGCAGAGCACCATACGGAGCAGCCGTGGAGTTACTCCAGATTGATGTGAAAGCAGAATCTGGCCCACAGCTCGGGAAATCCACAAAGGGAAATAAACAACAGAAAGTACCCCTGGCACAAAGACAGGCTAAACACCTCCAATCCAACACACACACACACACAACTCACCCCTCTCTCTGCTTCTCCAGAGCCTAACCAGCTACGCGTGTTCTCCTCCCTTTCCATCACAGACAGGGCAGCGCTGACCTGAAAGAAACTCTGAACAGCGGGCACCCCCCTCAGCGCGCCAGGGCTAAACAAATCCTACTTTGACCACAGCCAGCCCCGGCTAAAGAGAAACGTCTCGGCTTGCCAGCGCGGAAGCGGCCGCTGAACGGGCAGGTCTGAGATCTTTATCCCGGGGCCTCGCTTCGCCCCAAAGCCCGTGGCGGGGCGGGCCGGGCTGACTCCTGGCTTTAACCAGCCTTTCAGGAGCTGCCGCTGGCTGTCGCCTGGCACGGGCAGGAGGACTCGGGTTCCCTCGCCACCCCCCACAGGCGAAGAGTGCCCCCTGGATCGCGTGTTTTGGGAGAGGAGGGAGCTGGGGAGCTCTGATTACGCGGCCCCCGGGGGGCGACCAAGAACGGACCGGGGCGCCCCGCTGCCTCCTCCCCAGCGGGGAGGGCTTAATCCTCCCCAGCGAAGGGCAGAGGCAGGTCTGGGAGCCCCCCTCCCCGCCTCGGTCCAGCTGACCTGCCAGTGCAGGGAGACGTCAGGGGGCGTCGGGCGCCAGCAGCAGCTGTCGGGCTGCGGGAGCCGGGACCCCACCCCCGCCCCGCCCCGCCCCGCGCTCTCACTTCGGGAGCCGCGTCTCTCGCGTCCACACTGAGCAGCGGGCGCCCGGCGCGTGTGAGATGAGGCGGCCCGGGGCCGGCCGGCTCCCGCCTTGCGCTGAGCAGCCAGGGCTGTGAGCTGGATCCCCGGGCCGGGGGGGGGGCCGCTTTCCACCCCCCGCCGGGACTCGATGCCCAGGCAGGGAGCATGGCAGGGAGGCGGCCGCTGGGCGCCCGCGCCCTCTCCCTGCTCCGGTGGCTGGGGATGCTGCTGCTGCTGCCGCCGCTGCTCCAGGCCGGGCAGGGCTGCCCGGGTCCCTGCTACTGCTTCGCCACGCCGCAGCTGGACCAGTGCAGCTACGTGCGCCTGCAGGAGCCGCCGCGGGACCTGCCCCGCGGGGTGCGCAACCTCACCATCGCCGGCGGCAACCTGACGGTGCTGCGCCGGGCGGCCTTCGCCGGCAACGGGAGCCGGCCGCTGGGCGACCTGCGCCTGCTGCTGCTGCCCCGCGACAACATCCAGGCCATCGAGGATCGCGCCTTCCAGGGGCTGCCCGGCCTGGCGGCGCTGGACCTCAGCCACAACCCGCTGCGCGCCCTGGCCGGCGGCGCCTTCCGCGGCTGCCCGCGGCTGCGCACCCTCAAGCTCAACCAGGCGCTGCTGCTGCTGGGCGAGGCGCCCGAGGAGCCGCTGGCCGGCGCCCTGCGCAACTTGAGCCTGCGGCGGCTGGAGCTGGCGGGCAACGGGCTGCGGGCGCTGCCGGGCGCCGCGCTGCCGGAGGGGCTGGAGGAGCTGGATCTGCGGAACAACTCGCTGCAGGGGCTGAGCCCCCAGGAGCTGGCCCGGCTGGAGTCAGCCCCGCTGGGCAGGCTGCAGCTCTACCTGGGCTCCAACCCGCTGCGCTGCGACTGCGCCCTGCGCCCGCTGCTGGGCTGGATGCGCAACGCCAGTTGGAGGGTGCCCGATGCGCGCAGCCTGCGCTGCGCCGCCCCGCGGGAGCTGAGCGGCTCGCCTGTGCTGCGCCTCCGCCTGGAGCAGCTGGGCTGCGGGGCCGGCCGGGAGCCGGGGCCCGAGGGGGCCGGCTGGGAGCCGCGGCCCGAAGAGCCCGGCGAGCAGAAGGAGCTGGAGACCGCCTCCTACGTGTTCTTCGGCATCGTGCTGGCGCTGATCGGGGTCATCTTCCTCATGGTGCTGTACCTCAACCGCAGGGGCATCAAGCGCTGGCTCAACAACCTGCGGGAGGCCTGCCGGGACCAGATGGAGGGTTACCACTACCGCTACGAGCAGGACACCGACCCGCGCCGGGCCAGCGCCAGCCCCTCGGGGCTCTGAGCCAGAGTGCGGGGGGGCCACCTCGGCGCCAGGTAGCCCTGCCCGCAGGCATCGCTAGGGGATCCCACCCCTCCACCCCTAGCTCATGGGGATCCCAGCCCAAGCCCCCAACCCTGGCCCTCGGGGATCCTTCCCCCAGTCCTTGGGGTTCCTAGTCACCAGCCCACTACCCACAGCCCTTGGGGATCCCCACCCTTGGCCCTTGGGGATCCCGCCCATCCACCCACTACCCACAGTCCTTGGAGGTCCCACCTCATTGCCCAAGGGGTGTGTCGGGCTACCACTATCCAGGAAATCCACACATCCATTCACCGTCTAGAGGATACCCCCATGCAGGAGAATATCTATTCACCCACAGATTATCTCATAAAACCCCACTTCACCAATCCCACCCGCTCCCCAGAGGGGCACTCTTCCCCCCAGGAGATTGCCCACCAACCCATGGAAAAAACGCCAGGAGAATACCCTTCACCAACCCCCATCCTCTACCCAGGGAATACTTACCTTCCACCCAGCCACCCACTACTTGGGAATACTCTCCTCTCCCTTCTTGCCTGACAGGGGGCACTTCCAACCAGAGGGCACCCCACTCCCCAGGACAACGCCCACCCGTCCAGGGAACAGCCAGTAAAACACCCATCCACCAGCCCCCAGCTCCCGGAGAACAGCTTTTTGCCAACCCACTCAAGATGGCACAGGATCCATCCTCAGGACAGTAACACCCCTCCTACAAAACTAAGAAAACTGCACAGGATCCCCTCCACCCCCCTGGGTCACTGCACAGCATACAGTCCCCAGGAGAATACATCCCCCGCAAGGGTCCTGGGGATTGTGGATGAGAGAGCTACCCACCTTCACATGAATAACCAGCATCAGAGACCACATGGGCTCCATCACACCCACCCTCCCACCAGTGTGCTAGGGGCATGTGAACGTACAGGACTCTCCACATAGAATAAACCCTGAGATGGGAATTGACTGGCTCCACCCTGAGAGGCCCTTCTCTCCCCACCCCAATGGTCCAGGAGGTGCAGTATGAATGTACAGGAAACACCCAGCTCCATGCAGAATTAACTCCCATCCAGGACTATGCAGGAATCACTCCCGAAGAACCCCTTCCGTCCAGAATCCACAGGGGGATATGAATGTACAGGATGTAGCTCAACAATCCCTTTCAAGCCCTTCACTCCTCCAGGGTGTGTGACAGCATGTTTTCCACTGCCCTAACAGAAGAACCCTCTCCCCATGTCCCATAGGATGCTTCCCCAAAACCATCACAGCCATCAGTGTCCAGGGAAGTGAGTCTGACCCCAGCAAAAGAGCCTCCCATGACCTGTGGGAGTTATGAATGCACAGAAGAGCTCCGTGCACACGGAACTCCTAGCTACTCCAGGAGATTTTTTTAATTTTTCCTTTGTAAAAAAAACTTCTGCAACAAGCTAGAATACAACTCCCTGTGAATGTACTTTGTGCACATGGACCGTGGGGTGAGTTTTTACTTGGTGAGTTGCTGAAAGCAATGGGCTAGATGGTGTTATACTTGTTTCCTGGATTTTATTGGAGCCCAGACTTTTACCGTGTACAGTTCTCTTTCCTAGTATAGTTCTAACAAATACAAAACTAACTTGATTTTTTTTTTGCTCCAAACACAGAGGAAAAGAAAACAAAAAACCCACAAGAAATCATATGATCTGCTGAGCCCATTTATTTACTATGGTTTTTGTTCCACAAAAATTATGACTTCTCTCAGGCACAAAATAATGCACCTGCATAACAAACAAAACTTCCCTGCAGGCTGTATGCATGTTGCTAAAGCACATGGAAGCAGCTCGTTTCCGACTGCGGACTATAATCTAGAGTAGACTGCCTCAGCAATCTTATCAAAAAACAAGGCTCTCAATATCTTGCACAGGTTTGCTTCGAACTGCGCCTGTTAGTATACACTAGAGCAAATACACTGAGCGCTGCATCCAGTGCATTGTATGTTTTCTATAAAGCTTATTGCAATAATTTCTGAATCCGTCGTGGCTGAAGCAACGTTGTTATTATGATCCATGTTTTGCAGAGCAAGACCGTTAGGTACTAAGTGATCTCTGTAAATAGATGGTTCCATATACACTTCTGTGCTGTTGCTAGGTCTGGGGGAACAGAATGGGTTTACCGATTAGTGCTCAGCATCTGGATTCTAATCATTCTGACCCAGACTTGCTGCATGACCCGGGACAAATGACTTAGACCAGCAGTTCTCAAACTGTGGATCGGGACCCTGTTTTAATGGGGTCACCAGGGCTGGCATTAGACTTGCTGGGGCCCAGGGCCAAAGCCCAAGCCCCAGCCAAAGCCTGAGGGCTTCAGCCCTGGGTGGTGGGGCTCAGGTAACAGGCCCCCTGCTCGGGGAAGAAGCCCTTGGGCTTCAGTTCTGGCCCCACCAGACGTTGGAATTGGCCGAGGGCAGCGGGGCTCGGGTGGGTTCAGGCTTCAGTCCCCGCTCCTGGGGTCATGTCGTAATTTTTGTTGTCAGAAAGGGGTTGCCATGCAATGAAGTTTGAGAACCCGTGACTTAGACCTTAATTTCCAAAGTAGCCAATAATTCTGGGTTCCTCCGAGCTCCGATGCCTAAGTATAGCAACGTCTTTAGCCTGCTGAGCCCCCTTGCCCCCAGCTCCAGCTAGCAAGCAGGGGAGCTGCAGGTGCTCCATAGCTCTGAAAATCAAACTGTAGCTTTCTCTTAAGTGGGGATCCTTAAAAGGGAGGCACCCAAAATTAGCCGACCCGACTGAAAATTTTGGCCTTAACTTGGTCTGTGTTTGCCTCTCAGTCCTATCAGGATAATAACATTTACATACTTCACTGGAGTGTTGCGAGCCCTAATAAATTAAAGCCTGATCACAATGGAGTCAACAGCAGTACTCCCCCTGACATCCCTGGGCACAGGATCCAGCCCTTATTGTTTATAGCATGCTTTGAAATGCTTGGAAGCAATGCAATATATATTATTATTGTTCTACTCTAAGGCATTAGCAAATCCAGGTCCAAAATCTGCAAGTTGCTCCATCTGGGGGGAACCTGGTGGCCACATGACCCTCACTGAAATCCCAGGGGGCAATCTTCAGTGAGCAGCTCTCAGGCTAGGGAGCTAAGAACAGCTCTCAGGATAGGGAGCTAAGAGTCTCGCAGTCCTTGCTCAGGCAAATCTCCCACTGACAGCACTGAGTAAAGATCACAGGCTCAGTGTGAAAAGCACCCTGCAGACTTGGGACATGGATCCATTCCTATTGAATACAATGGCAAAATCCCTGCCAGCTTCAGTGACACTCTTGCTCCTAAAAAGAAAAGGAGTACTTGTGGCACCTTAGAGACTAACCAATTTATTTGAGCATGAGCTTTCGTGAGCTACAGCTCACGAAAGCTCATGCTCAAATAAATTGGTTAGTCTCTAAGGTGCCACAAGTACTCCTTTTCTTTTTGTGAATACAGACTAACACGGCTGTTCCTCTGAAACTCTTGCTCCTAAATCACACAGATGCTTTTGAAAATTCTTCCTGTAGGTGCCTAAATATGAACTTAGAAGCCCAACTTTCTGCTCCCATTTTTAGAAGTGTCAGCCTCTCTCTGTGTTTCATAAATGGGGCTTTCTCACTGAGCCGCTCAGAAGCCTAAGATTAATACTTTGACAAAATATGTCTACAAGTTTATGCAGCTTTTTCATTGCACGTGGTTTTGTCAGTTTGCGATACGGTTTAATCTAATTATGCCTGACCTGTCTGCCAGTAACTTTTTGAACATAATAAATAAAGAAGGCAGAACATTTGTGGGAGCAAAGGGCTCTTGCTTCATGAAGCCAGAGATCTGAGATGCAAAGTCTCTATTTTCTAAAAAGGATTCTTTTTTTTTTTTTCCCCAAAAATGTGGGAGTCCATTTTTTCCTGCTCATCAGAGAGAAGGATTTCATAGCACCAGCAGCAGTCGGGCAGAGCAAGGCTGAGTGCTGTGCATACCTCCAGTACACCGTGGTCCTTTCCTGCAGCGCCTGCTCCTTACCGTTCCTGAGCTAAGCAGACCCCGGCTCATTTTCAGCTGCAGGCCCAACAGGCCAGATCCTGTAGCACAATTCCCATTGGCTTCCAAAGAAGCCAGATCTGGTGTAATGTATAAATGGAGAGTAGGATGAGGCCCGTAGGCTCGCTTTTACACGTTTATGTGAACTGCGAATTGAATGTCCTGTTGCTGCCCCACTGAACACAGTGTAAACCAGAAGGAATTTTGCTGCCAACTCCCTCAAACAAATTAAAGGTGCCTGCTACTTTACCATCTTGAGAAACAAGGAATAGGCATGTCTGTGGTGCAGCGGGCAGTTGTAAAAATAACACCATATCTATGTTTTCCTGTGGAAGCATGAACAAATATGCAGACTCAAAATGCATCTCATATCCCTGAAAAGTTCATTGTCTCTAACTCTCCCTCTTCCCCGGGTTGTTTTCCTGCCCCCCAGAGTTAACTCTGTGCACTGTGTAAGGACCTGATCCTGCAAACCCTCATTCATGTGTGTAACGCCACTGTGCCCAGTGGGCTCTGCGAGATCTGCATACAGAAGGGCTCAGATCCACAAAGGTAGGCTGCTAACTTCCAGATACCTTTGTGAATCTGGGCCCGGGTCCCTATATGTGTCGAGTGGGATTTCCAGTGACAACAGGAAAGTTGCCGTGTAGGCCTGCCCAGCGAGCCTAGGTACAGGCCCTGGCCTGCGACGGGCCTTGGGGGTGAACCCCCTGCCCCACCCTCAGTTTAAAGAAAACTCCAGAGGGCCCGAGTCCCCCGTTCCTGCAGGCTGGTGCTCAGGCCCCTTGGCTTCAGTGGCACTCTCCGTGTGAGTACGGGTGTGCAGGACTGGGCCCTTGCTCTGTGGATTCCAGTAAAGCCCAACACTCCTTTTGGAGTCGCACAGTTCCTTGCCCTGTTTCCCGTAGAGCTTAACTTGCCGGGGATCCCCAGGCACTCGGGGGCGAGGAGCCGTGGTTCTAGAACTGACAGAAAGTGGGTTGCAGTGATCTGTATTGCAGGGTGTTATTTGCTAGCATAGATAGACCTCCACTTATTTTGAATGATGGTTTTACGGTAATTTCTCTCTTTCCTTAAAGCTCTGGGATTTGATTCTTCTCCCACTGAAGTGAATGGGAGCTCTGCTTTCACTGGGAGCAGGACTGGGCAGCTGGTCTGCAGATTCATGGTGTCTGTTTGCCCTTCAAGCCATAGCTTTGCTGTCCAAACAAAGTATTCTGGGTAAATTAGAGCTCCCATGGCCTGATTCTCCTCTGACTTGGCTGGTGTAAACCAGGAGTCGTCACTGAAATCCCGGGAGTGATAGCAGTGGAGAAACTACAATAAGCAAGAGCAGAATCAAGGCCCCACCCTTTGGGGGAGAGACATGAACAATCCAAATGCTGCGTCTCTCTACGCCGTCCCAGAAACTCCCTGAAAGGAAAACGCACCAACAGAGCTCGCTGCACAACAGCAGCTGCGGGCACCCAGCCCAGCTGCCACAAGGCAGAATGTGTAGTCTGTGAGATTGACAGTGGGTTATTGTCATCTTCGTTTTTCATTTGCGAAAAAGAAACCAGCCACGGGGTTTTCCTGTGGAAACAGGTTTGGGGGAAACTGGGTGTATTTGTGTATCTGTAACCCTCTGGATGTGTGTGTGGCCGGCTCCTCAGCTGGTGTGAATTGGCACAGTGCCAATGGAATCAATGGTACTATATCAATTAACACCATTATTAATTGCATTGCAGTAATGGCTGGAGGTCGCAGTCAAGAGTGGGGCCCCATTATGCTCGGGGAACATACACCTAATGAGACAGTGCCTCCCCTAAAGGCTTACAGTCTAAATTGACAAGACCGACAATGAATAGGAGGGGAAACGGAGGCATAGGTAGGGGCCATGACCTGCTGAAGGTCACACAGCAGGTCAGTAGTGGAGCCAGGATTAAGAACTCAGGTCTTCAGATTCCCCATTCAGCGCCCTGTCACTGGACTATGTGAAGATGGTATGCCAGCTAACACCAGCTGGGGAGCTGGCCTGTGATGTTTCAGCCATAACATGCTTTCTACTGGGGAAAAGTCCTTCAGAATTGAACAGGACATGATAAGTTTTCTGTCGTTCTTTTGGCCCAGGGTATAGAATGTAATGGTGTCACAGCCCTGCTCTGTAGACTTCTACAGCAGGCTGCAAGCTCCGGCAGAAAGGATCTCATTCGCCAACACGTTTCACAGAGGGATTCCCACAGGTCCCATTTCTCCACGGTGTTGCACCAGTTTTACACCTGTATGACTCTGCTGATCTGAATGGCGCTACGGTGGCCTAAAGCGGATCTCTGTTAAATTCTATTGGACTTTTCCCTAGGGGTTTTCATAGCCACCCATCCAATTTCCAATGCTTCCTATGCAATAATATCACAAATATGGGATAGGCAGCAGGCCAACCATTCCCCGCTAATTGTCCCACAGCTGCTGGAGGCCCAGAGGTTCTCAGATGCAGCAGAACTGGGGCGCCCCATCCCCTGGGCAATGGAATTGCAGGCTCTTAGGAAGCCCATGCAGAGGACTGTGTCTATGGATATTCAATGCACCCTGTAAAGGGGCCACTGCAGCTC